CATAAATTAAAAGGAATGAAGTTATTATAGTTAATATATGCAAATCGTTATCAAATCGTATATTTTCCTTTTCTTCCATTACATGTGTGCGATATATATAAATATATAAACTATGTTACATGCGTTATATGCGTCTCTAATTATTTTTCCCTAGCAAATTTCAATTGAACCTAAAGCCGCCACGTCAGTTAATTGATATGCTAATTGATTGACAACTAAGCAAGGTTACTTTTTAATTAATACAAACTTGAGGTTACATCTTTTCAAATGTTTCTCAATTAATATATAAGGGATAGATATTTGTTATATATATTTTTTTAATTTAAGCATATGTTTAAAGGTTTTTAATTATTTCAGATATAATAATTTTCCATGTTGTACTTAATCAATTGTTGTAGATCATCACATGTATTTGTCTCTTCTTATTATATATTAGATTGCCCGCGCATTGGATACGTTGTTGATGTGTTGTGTAGTTTTATGTATGAGACTTTACAGTTTTTTTTAACATTTGTTTATCTGGCTTATCTATAATGATGAATGAAACATTAGAAGTCACACAACTTGATTAGTCTGATAAAAGAATAAACATCGAATTCATATGGGCTGATATTTTCATATTTTATCTTTGTAGTGACTTTATCGAGCATTCCTTTTATTAGTGATTTTATCAAGCATTACTGTTATTAGTGCTTTCATGTAAAAAAATAATTCAATGGAGACAAGACAAAAAGGACATGTGTTTATTAGTGTAATTTTCTTTCTGAAATTATGTTGTATATATATATATATATATTTTAGTTGTGATGTATATGAGATTTATGACCGATCTGAATGGTTCGGGGTAAATATTTATCATTGAAAAAATATGTTTTTATTTTATTTGATGATTATAACTGAATTGAAATGATATTAGAGGTTAGAACATGATAACATTTCTTATAAAAGTATCTAAGATGGTCTCATAAAGTTTCAAATCCTTAAGTCATTTTGTATCCTAACAACCAGTATAAAAAATCATTCTGAATCTCCTTAAGCTTTTAGGTATCCCAAAAAGCCCAAATTAAAAAAAAAAATTACATGCAAGCACTGCGTTTCGAACCCGCACTCGCGGTACCCTCTTCTCATCAACAACTTACACCACTGGGCCATTTCATCACTCATCAATAACATTCAGTCTTACAAAATAGTATACGTTTTTGTTTTCCCTATAACATGTACGGGGCCCACAAACTTGCTGACGTGGACACGCTTAGGAGCTTCAAAAGTGTACTATTATTATATATATTTATCTTGATAAAATTACATTTGTGTATTAATTAGATCAATATATGTATAATACAACATATTTAATATAAAATATATTAATTTATCAACTTAGTATACTTTGATCCTATTTAATTCAGTATAACAATTATTTTAATAGGATAAATTATGATTATAAAATAAATAAAATAGGATAAAAGTTTTATTTTTTATTTTATAAAAAATAACTGAATATATATTAATGTATAGTAATATTTTATTATTAATTATGAAATTAGTGAAAATAGTTAGATAAGATTTTAAAATTGAGATCTTTTAAATATCCTTTTCAACAAATTTGCTAGAAGTTTGAAATATATATATTATATTTAAAATGAAAAGATATCAAAATATATTATAATTAGAGAGTATTTACATAGATGATATATTATTAATATTAAGAAAATACATTGATAAATGTTTAAGGAGGATCCAACTAAAAAATCATACATCAACTGAAGTCATGACTTCTGTTTTAATATATAAGATGTATACTGTAATTACATAGCTATAATATAAATAAACTAAACATCAATTAATAATCAGTTTTAATTTAGAAATGTGTATAATTTTAATTAAAACAATAGATTTTAAAATTAGCAGTATTGTATCACCTTACATAATTTACAATTCTTATCCCACAATCATTTTATAGTGTTTATCTATGGATTAGTAATATAAAACAAAGTTTCTAATGGTATGTTACACCACATTTAAATTATTTTCTCTACCAGGAAAAAATCATAACTTGGAAAATGCAATGTTTAAAATGAAACTATTAAATATAAAATTTTATTTTTGGATTCACCATTTAATATTTACGGCATAAGAATATATAAAAAATCAAAGTATGCTTAGATACAAAGACATATTAAAATACAAAACGCATTAGCTAAATTATAATTAGACAACAATAGGACATCATTCTACATTAGAAGTAAATGGAGCTCAAATATAAAGAGAAAAAAAAACAATTCTAACTTATTTCCGTCTTCTTTAACTAGATAACCTTTTTTGTAATATTATTTTAAAATATCATAAAATATTTCCTATCTTAATCTAAAAATTTAAAAGTAATATTATTTAGATATAACGTAGAAAAATTTGAAATATTATAATATAACTGGAGAGAACTAAAAAAATTATAAAATATATCTTAATAAAAATTTAAACAAAATTACTTATATAATAATTTCAAAAACAAAAAAATAAAATAAAATATGATAATCTGCGCGCAGCGCGGAAAAAGACTCTAGTATATATAATAGCTTCTAAAACTTTCTATCAAGGAAACATTTTATAAAATTTTCTGGCGGACAAGCTTGCGCGTGGTGCAAGAAATTCTCTTCAGCTATTTTCTATGTCGATTTTATACCTCCGGTTTGGATTTCCACACCGGCAGGACCAGCTTCTTAGATTAAAGTTTTGTAATCAGACAAAAAAAAAGATTAAAGTTTTGTTGTAAGAAAAAAAACACAATATATAGCATCTTAAATACATGATATTATAAATATCATGCAGTAAAAGCAATCTACAAAAAAAAAACTATCATATTGTAAAAATACAGTAATTTTTAGAAAAAATATAATATAGGAAATATCTATTATAGTTTGGGCAGACATGACAATTACAGTAACGCTAACAAAAGTATAGTTGTTTCCTTATGCTAAAAAAGGTTTTTTTTTGTAATGACGGTTCGGTTTCAATATATTTTGAGTCAATTGACCCAATATCCTAAAACTATAACAATATTAGCTATCTGCCTTTATAATAAATTTATAGGTACCCAAATAACGTAAAAAGACGCTTTAGTCCTTGACGAATGAGAAAGAGATTGGTTTTGGCATGAGAGGCCACCCCATATCTCATCGGTTTCTCGCGTTTTTCGTTGATTCCAGATCGGATTCAGGTAATTTTCGATCAGATCCATCATTTTAGTGTTTTTTCATCAGATCTGTTGATTGTGTTATGTATTTTTGAATTCAATTCATTAGATTTAGATACGTTTCTTCGTTCTTAAACACTGGGCAGAGACTCGTCATATAGTGTGAACAGTGTAGAGTGCACACAGATGAAAAGAACAGAAAACGAGGATGATCATGAGCAAGAAGTCATGTTTATTACAAATACCAAACTGTAAAACTTATCATTAAATATAACTAAAAAAGGTTCACAGATTTATTATATGCTATATGAAATCCAGAATCCTACTCTAGAAACACCACAAAGCAATGATCTTTATGATTCCCATAACCCTCCCTTTCCCCCAAAGACCACTCCTTTCTTCTTTCAAATATGAGCATACCTCCTCAAAACCTGCTTCCCCGCCACAACCCCACCAGCCACCATCCCACCAAGCGCACCCGCCACAGCAGCAGACCTCACACCTCTCGCCGCCCTAAACACCGCCCCAGTCCCCAACCCTGCCACCACACGTGTCCACTGATCATCCCTATCCATAAACTCCACAACTTCACTCTCAACCCCCGCGTAGATCAACCCAAAAACCCCAACCCTGCAACCCAACAACCTTCCCTTATGACCAGACGAGTTCAAAACCTGTTCACCTTCAGCTTCGCCGTGTCCCAGTACTCGAAGCTCTTGATCCCGGAGACGATCCCAGCCGCGGCTCCGGCGAAGGATCCGGCGAGGTAACCGGTTCCTGTGTAGAAAGTGAGATTCTCTCCCCAAGATCGACGCTTTTTGAGGGACTTCGGTGAAGAGGTATTCGGGGGAGGTGGGGAGTTTGTAGAGGTATTGGGATTTGATGGGGAGGTCGTAGTTTTGGTATGGGTGGTAAAGGCGCGTGCTTTCGTCGTCGGAGGTGTGATTTGTCGCCATTTGGTTTATGGAGAGAGAAGAGACGATGATGGACAGTGGAGAGAAGGCTTATGAGTTTTAAAGGGTTTAAGAAGTTTTAGCTAATTAGAATTTGACCCAGTATTGTCGAAGGAGAGATTCGTCGGTGAGAAGGAGAGAGAATGGACAAACAAGAAGAAGGAGAAGAAGAGAAGGAGGAGAGATTAGTGGTGTTGTCTGCGAGGATAAAGGAAAGAGAGAGAGAGAGAGAGAGAGAGAGAGAGAGAGAGAGAGAGAGAGAGAGAGAGAGAGAGAGAGTGGAGGAAGAAGAAGAAGATGGGGCAGTAAAGTCTTTATTTTTTTATACAGTGTAATATAAATGGTTTCGGGTATATTCTCAATTATGGACTTACTGGTATGTATGGAGTGCAATTTCTCATATATTTTTATCAGATTGGTCCGAATTTTAGATTCGGCTGAGTTGTCTATCCCTAAACTTATATATAACTCATCTTTGAAATTGGAGAGATATATAGCCCATGACTATAGATATTGACATCATAAGCTAAAAGATACAGGGAAGTAATCATCATTGCAGCATGTCTCAATGAATAATAGTGTATTCACTATGGTAGGTCATAAATAAAGCCAAATGAAATATTTGCTTCTAGCTTCCCTAAATTTTTTGAAGAAAATTATATAAACATATACTGAATTTATTAAAAGAATACTTTTACTGAAAACTTTACTTTACAACCCTCCCCCTCCCACCCCTTTTACATTTCATGTACAAAGCCAAATGAAACGTTAGTCTCTAGCCTTCCCAAAATATTTGAAAAAAACTATATATGCATCGGTCAAATTTGTTCCAAAATATTTGAAAGAAAACTATATATGCATAGGTCAAATTTGTTAAAAGAATATTTTTATTGAAACTTTTAGTGAATATTAGCCTTTAGCATCTCCCCTCCGCCCCCCCCCCCCCCCCCCCCCCACCACATTTGAGGGCGGAGCCTAGTCTTCAACACTAATTTTTTTCAAAAAAATATATGGGTTTTTGTGGTTTAAGCATTATCATTGGCTTTGAAAGAGAGATAATATTTAATCCGTATGTTCATCATTTCTAACGTGTTGCTCAAGTTTGATAGACGATGTTCTTGCAGCTTGGTTAAATAATGTGTTTAACTTCTACAAAGTGGACCGACCTACTTTAACAGACGTTACAGATCTACGTTACTACGTATTGGTTTCACTTGGAGATATAACATGATGTTATGGTGTATACTGTTATAGAGACAGACCCCTTTGGAAGCAAAGTGAGAATGTTTATAAGGAGTTCTTCAGTACAAAGATCACTTGGGACCAGCTGAGGGTTAAGGAGCCAGATGTAAGTTGGAAGGATGTAGTCTGGATCAAACACTTCACGCCAAAGTTTTCTTTTTGTACTTGGTTGGCTATGCTTAACAGGCTTTCCACGGGAGACAGAGTAATCAAATGGGATCCTGGGGCAAATCAATGATGTGTGCTATGTGAGGAGGAGGTTGAGACACGAGATCACTTATTTTTCCAATGTGCTTACTCAAGGGGGGTTTGGAAAGCGAGTATAGGGAAGCTACTGAGGAATAGATATACTGCGAACTGGGGGGGATCTAAATCTTCTGCTTGCTGACAGAGGGCGGGGGAGAATAGATACTTTCCTTGTTCGGTATGTTTTCCAAGTTACAATTTGGAGTTTATGGAGAGAAAGGAATGGCAGGAAGCATGGAGAAAGTCCCAAACGAGTTCACCACATGGTGAAATGGATTGACAAGGAGGTTAGAAACAAGATTTCTGTTATCAGGATGCAAGGAGATAGGAAATATGAAGGAAGTTTTCAAAAATGGCTAGCCACAAGAGTATAGAGTAAAGAGATAGAAAGTTAAAATCGTTTCTATGTATAAAGTTATTGCAAAGTTGTAGAAACAGTCCTTTTTTTCTTTTGAATGAATTTAACATTTCTTCAAAAAAAAAAAAAAAAAAAAAAAGATGTACAACATATATCAATACTTGTAAGTTGTAAATACCATTTCACAATAATTACATGAAACTTGAGAAGTGAATTGTTACAACTTTCACGTCATTCTTACAAGCATGGGGGCCTCTTTCTTGTAGTGTTAAGTGTTAAGATATGGTGTAACGTCTACACCAGATTGACGCTTATCTGTACAAGAAATTGAGTCATGNTTGCAAGAATGTAGTTGGGACATGCACACTGCATGACATGACAGACAGATTGAGAGAGAGAGAGAAGCAAAACATCAACGCTGTTGTCGTTCAGCAACTACACTCTTGTGTTCACTTTATATAAATAACATCTCATGAGCTTTCAGAACTTGTTTCTTAATCTGACAGCTCTCATATTCAGTCCCTTCGGTGCCTCAGCGGGCGCTTATAGAGGTATGTTCGTGATTCTGAATCATCGATCTTAAGAGTCTGAGTTTGTTAAATTAATCTATTGTTGTTAAATCGGAGTTTATACACCTAAAAAGCTGTGCAAAATTTTATCTAACCTTTGAGTTCCTTGATGTATAGCTTTTCGTCCATCATGTTCTTAACTCTGACAAATCTCCTGCAAATGACATGTATTTGATCATATTAGAAATGTATAGATGATTATAAGTAGATATATAAAGCATCCTCATGAGAATATCACATATGTATACACGAATTTCTTGATCATTTAGGCATGTGATGTAAATGAACAGACAAGTATACATCCTCATGGCCAGCTTATGTGATGTTCTGCAGATTAAGGACTAAAGAGGCGCATAAGAGATGAGGCCCAAAGCTGCTTCAGGAAAAGCCATAATAGTGCTGTGCCTCGCCAGCTTTCTTGCAGGCTCACTGTTCATGAGTCGATCTTTGAGTCGCTCTTACGTGTCTGAAGAAGAGGATCAACATCTCGCAAAGCATTTGTCCAAACGTTTAGAGGTTCAAAAGGACTGCGATGAACATAAACGCGTAATAGCACCTCCTCTACTTATATATCCCTACTATTTACATATACAAAAACATGATCATGTATGTATATATATATATATATATATTCACTAATCACGAGGTTTTTTTTTCCTCATTTGTTGATCAGAAATTGATAGAAAGCAAATCCAGAGACATCATAGGAGAAGTGTCAAAAACCCACCAAGCAGTAAAGTAATAAAGCCTTGCTCTTTCTTCTTTTGTTTCTTATGACGTAATTGAGACAGAGGAGGTAACACTAGAAGTGTTTATGAAAGTGTAGAGCATTGGAGAGAACAATGTCAACATTGGAGTTGGAGTTAGCAGCAGGACGTACCAGCCATAGAAACAGTGAGTTCTGGGGTGAAAAGAGCGCGAAAAACCAGAGTCTGCAGAAAGCGTTTGCAGTGATAGGCATCAACACAGCATTCAGTAGCAAGAAGAGACGAGACTCGGTGAGACAGACATGGATGCCAACTGGTGAAAAGCTGAAGAAAATCGAGAAAGAGAAAGGCATAGTTGTAAGGTTGTGAAGTAAGCCACAAGTATCAAGGAAAATATTTAAATTCACTACCTATATAACACAATAATAATAGTTATCTAAAGCTTACACTTTTTTGTTTTTGTTTTGTTGTTGTCAGGTTTGTGATAGGACACAGTGCAACACCAGGAGGAGTATTAGACAAAGCCATCGATGAAGAAGATTCGGAGCATAAGGATTTTTTGAGACTAAAACACATTGAAGGATATCACCAGCTCTCTACAAAGACAAGACTCTATTTCTCAACAGCAGCAGCAATATGGGACGCAGAGTTCTACGTGAAGGTAGACGATGATGTTCATGTCAACTTAGGAATGCTCGTTACAACACTTGCAAGATACCAAGCAAGACCGAGGATTTACATTGGATGCATGAAGTCCGGTCCGGTTCTTTCACAAAAGTAAGAATCTTTTATTACAACGAAACATATAAACTTGACGACACCTTTGGATGTCTGAAAAAATGTATGAAACCAGGGGAGTGAAGTACCACGAGCCAGAGTTCTGGAAATTTGGAGAAGAAGGGAACAAGTACTTCAGGCATGCAACAGGACAGATCTACGCAATCTCTAAGGACTTAGCTGCGTACATCTCTACTAACCAGTGAGTGACAATAATATTATTTATTCATGTTTTCTACAAGTGCTGATATGTGTCTGGACGCAGGGGAATACTGCACAGGTACGCGAACGAGGACGTGTCGTTAGGAGCGTGGATGCTAGGGCTAGAGGTCGAGCATGTGGACGAGAGGTCCATGTGTTGCGGGACGCCACCGGATTGTCAGTGGAAAGCGCAGGCGGGGAACGTGTGTGCAGCTTCGTTCGATTGGTCATGTAGTGGGATATGCAAGTCCGTTGATAGAATGACACGCGTACACCGCGCTTGCGCAGAAGGAGACACTCCTCTCTCTAATTTTCGCTTCTTCTTCTGAGTTGGTTGGTTGCTTTGTGGGATGAATAAGGAAACGTTACTACAAAACGTAATAAAATGACCTTTTTGTTGGTGTGGAACGATTGGTTACGAGCAGCATTGACTATGGGTCTTTTAATTTTGTTTCTTCTGGGGGATCAACATAAGTCATGGATTTACATATTTTTTAGCAATAAAGGAGATAAATATTTTTTTAAACAAACACAGGAGAAAAATATGAATCGGTAGAATACTAAAACAGGGTGAAGATTAGATACGAACACAAGGTTTATATAATAAGATCACTGTAATTAACAAAAATGATAATTTTGGAATTATGGGACATTTTTGCTGATTTAGGAAAACTTATGCTATAAAGTAGAAAGGTAATTATCTTATATATTTAAATATAAATCATGACCTTGATTTATTTGTGATTTTTTTTAAATGAACAATTAATTACTAAAAACATTTACTAAATATATTTATTTAAGACTAATAATATATAGAATGTTTAAAATACTTTAATCATAATATATTTTGATATCTTTTCATTCTAAATATAATTATACTTATTTAAATTCTAACAAATCTGTTTTAATATAAAATCTTCATTTTTGATATTATCTTTAAATAATTTCAATAATTTTGAAATTAGTTTGAAATATTATTATACATTAATATACTCAGTTAAGTTTATAAAATAAAAAATAAAAAATTATATCATATTATCTGTTATATAATCGTAATCAATCATATTAAAATAAAATTATGATATTAAACTAAATATAATAAAATTGTATTAAATTGATAAATTTATATATTTTATTTTTGTAAGTAAAAAATATTTAAATTCAAAAATAAAATGTAATATGTTGATTAAACGGATTAACATTAGCAAATTATATAATACATGTATATGAATTAACATGTATTTAATTAAAACGAATAATATAAAATCTTTATAACTACTTTAATAATGATGTATTTTCATTTTAAACATAATATATATTTATCTATTAAATTTTAATTTTTTAATAAATCTTTATAAAAATATTTTACACTAAGTTAATGTATTTTATGTTATATAAAATAATTGTTTTTAGTTATATCCTATTTGATTTACTTTATAATCATAATCATCATGTTAAAAGACAATTATTATATTAAACTAAATATGATAAAAGTAGATTAAATTTATAAAATTTATTTTCATAAATATAAACTATTTATTTTAATATATAATATGATGATAAACGAATTAAAGTTAGAAAATTATATAATACATTTCTAAAAATTAACATAACTTATACTTTGTATATACAATAATATATAATTTAAAATGAATAAACATAGAAATATTGGTAAAGAAAATTTAGTTTTGAAGATCATGTCAGAATTTTAAATATAAAATAATTTTCAAATATTTTTTTTTTCATGAATATATTAATTTGCTTAATAACTAAATGCAAATACAATAAGATAAATATATAATAAGAAAGTGACAAATACATATGTTTTTTAACAATTGATTAATATAACAAGTAAATTATAAATTATTGTATTTGAAATAGTCATATAAACATGTAAGTATATGATTTAACGTTAAAAATATATAACACTTATGTTCTAAAACAAATATTTACTCTATTTCATTTTAGTTGTCGTTTTAGTTTTTCTGCATACAAATTAAGAAAATATTTAATTTTACATATTTTCGAAATAAAAACACAATGACCTATACACTTAACCATATTTCAACCAGTAAAAATATAGAAAATTATATAAAGTTATTAAATTCCGCATCAAAATTATAAAACGACATTTATTTTGAAACATAAAATATTCTTTATAATGACATGTAACTAAAACAGAGGGAATATTTATTTATATAAAAATAAAAATAAATATATCCATACGATTGCACAGATCAATATCTAGTTATTATTATTATTGTTAACCCAAGTTGGGATGATTAACTTAATATACAAAACACAACATAAAATATTTCAACGATTCAGATTTTAAAATCTAACTGAAGATCTAGTATTTATAAACCTTAGAAGACAAAAACTTGGAGAACATGTTTTTTTTTTGGATTTGTTAACCCAAGTTGAGATGATTAACTTAGTATACAAAACACAACATAAAATATTTCAACTGCTCATATTTTAAAATCTAACTGAAGATCTAGTATTTATAAACCAAACCTTAGAAGACAAAAACTTGGAGAACGTGTTTTTTTTTTATGTTACTTTGTTTTTAGAAGTAAGTATTTGGATGACGATTTTAGTCAAAAAAAAATTATTTGGATAACGACAAATTTAAAGGTTAAACATTTCGATTAGCTCAAAAGATATTCACCAAGAAATCTTTTAGGAGGAATCAATCGGGAATGGATAGGATTGCCTTTTTTTTTTTTTTTTTTTTTANAAAAGGGAACCAAGAGTAAAAATAAAAATATAAGCGTGTAGAAAAGGAAAATAAAAAACCGCCTCAATCAGTAGGACCCATCTCTTTCTTATCTTCTTCTCCCTTCAGAAGAGGTCAAGCTTTTGGTCAATATCTCCACAACAAACAAAAACCCTAATCCTAAATTTCGAGAGGGAAAATCTTTCCGCCAAAAACTCCCCCTCTCTCTCTCTCTCCTCTTTTGTATCTCTCTCTCTGTCTCTCTCTCTCTGGGTTTAGTCTTATTTTCGAGTTTGGCTTTGTCGTTAGTGATAACTAAACGCTTCTTACAGTCATGGCGGTGATGGATGTCGGTCGGAAGGCCAAGAGTTCTAGGCGTAGCAACAAAAACTCCGCTCATCTTTACCGTTTCGCCACCTTCCCGGCGGAAGAGATGAGAAGCGGCACGTCTACCTTGCAGCCGTTCCGCGATGGAGTGATATCTTTCCTCGCGAGCTACGCCCGTGTCACTCTCCCTACCTCCACGCTCTTCTCCAGCTTGAGGACTTGGCAGATCCTTCTCAGACATGGCGATTCGACCGACGGTTCAGATCTCTCTTCCAGACTCATCTCCGTCGACGTTGTGGAGGAGGATGTTACCAGATCCTCTAGATCCGTTTACTGTGACCACTGCCGAGTCGTTGGTAATGCGCAGATTCCTCTTTGTGAAAAGTTTAAAACTATTTTTTTTTATCGTGTTTCCATAGGTTGAATAAGTACACTGAGCAAAATCTCTTCTTTTTTGTGTGTGTGTGTTTAAAGGTTGGAGTAGCCATCCAGTGTGTAAAAAGAGGTACCACTTCCTCATAAGATCTGGAGGAGACAGCAAGAGCCTCAACACTGGGATGGAAAAGGCTTGCTCGAGGTGTGGTTATACTCAGAGTGGTTATACTCAGAACTTGTCCGAAGGCAGCAATTGCAAGTGGTGCAACTTGGCTCTGGACACAGAGGACTGGGTTTACTCTCAGCTGGAGGCCAACACTCATCTCCTTCATGGCGTTATTCACTCCAACGGCTATGCACATCTCTTGTCTCTCAACGGTAGAGAAGGTGGCTCTGGTTTCTTGACTGGCCGTTCCATTATGGACTTCTGGGACAGGCTTTGCTCCTCCCTTGCTGTTAGGAAGGCTAGTGTGATGGATGTGTCCAGGAAGTATGGCATGGACTACCGATTGCTTCATGGAGTGACTAGAGGCTGTTCGTGGTACAATGAGTGGGGTTATGAACTCAATTCTGGGAGTTACGCACTCACAAGAGAAGCCTACCAGAGTGCTGTGGCTACTTTATCTGTGATGCCTCTCTCTGAGTTCATGTTCCAAGGGAGGAAGCCAAGAACTCAGCTACAATCCATTCTCGGCTTCTACCAGTCACTCTCCTGTTCGGAGCTTGTGACTCTAAGAGACCTATTATCTTTTCTGCTACAATTGATTCGCGAGAGGCAAGCGAAACCCACAACGGATGTGCTTTGTGCTTGGAGTAGAAGTGATGTAGAACGTGTACAGCAAACCATGGTTAAGATATTAAAAGCTGCAGGAGGAGCTCACTGGGTTAAAAGGTGGGCTCTCAAAAGGTCTATTTGCAAAACAGGCTCCCCACAGCTGATTGATTATTGTCTCAAGCATTTCGGAGGCGTTTTGGCGGATGATGGATCTCGAGTAGTCTGCTCTCGTTGCAAGCCTGTCTCAAACGACTTTGAGTATAGGTAATATCTCTTCACTTTCTGCTTGCGATTGGTTGTCTGCTCTCGTGCATAATCTTAACCTTTGGCGTTATCAACTTCAGGCTTGAACCTGTCAACAATGTGCACCGCTTGTCAAATCAAGACATTAATTATGCATCGGAGGAGCAAATCAAATGCGACTTAAGATATCTACATGACACGTTACTGCAACCACAAACCAAGGCCGAGTTTAGGTCGCAAGCTACTAGTGATAAATTGATTGATGCAGCCACAAAGATACTTGACTGTAAGCATTTCATAAAAGATTATTCGTCTAGTCCAGTTAATCCCTTTGCAATCTACCTTTGGTGCCATGTCGAGCTTTCTGACGAGTCCAATGAATGCCCATGCCCACCACCTGAGCTGTTGGTATTTCCACTGAACGCTACTGTATCTGACCTGAAAAAAGAAGCTGCCAAAGCATTTCAGGAAGTGTACGCAATGTTCAAGAGGTTTGAAGTGGAGGAGCTCCTAGGTTACGGCTCTATGGATGACTCCGTTACCCTGAAGTTTTTAATTGGCACAAATGGAGTCATAAGGGTCAAAGGGAGATGCTCATCTAAACATGAGCTCCTCCAATACCGCATGGAGAGAGGAGTAGAGTACTGGGAAGTTGATTGCAAGTGTGGCGCAAAGGATGATGATGGTGAGAGGATGTTGGCCTGTGATTTGTGTGGTGTGTGGCACCATACTAGATGTGCTGGGATAGAAAATGCCGATGCGCTACCTTCCATGTTCCATTGTTTCAGATGCATTGAACCGTACAGTAAGAGACCAAAGCAATCTGTTAATGAGCATGGCACTAGTAAAGTGGCCCTAACTGGGTTTGTTTGTAGAGGTGAGTCAGCTGCAATGGGCAGTGGGTCTAATTTATCTTTAACACTTAGTGTAGGCTGACTGTATTTATGTAAATAGGTATCTGCATGTGATTATGGATGCTAAACTTTTGTTATGTTAACAAGGGTTCGAGATATCTATGAAGGATAAATGTTTTGAGATTCCATCTTACCTTTACTTTCTTCGTTGCTGCGTTTAGGCAGTTTCCTCCTATTCTTAACAACTTCCTTGTACACAGTCAGCAATCCGTTAACGTCTTCCATGTACTTGTCTCTCTTATTCTGACGCTTCCAAAACATAAAGCACACAAGACAAACCAACAACTAAGATCAGTAACTAGTCCTAAATCAATGTATATAACTAGAATGCGGATCATTTCACCATCTATCAACAAAGCATATTGTCGATGATGAACCAGATTTACCTTCTTACTCGAACAAAGTTTCATACGTGAAATGACTTTTGGGTTAATTCCACTGTATATTGTCTTGGCGGAGACAAAGTTTGTCAAATTTTGGCCTTCCTCCGGGTTGCTCAAATTTGAGACTGGAATGCAAGTGTGTAGTATTTGCCTGCAATTTCATATCAAACAAATTAGAAATTAGATATAATTTACATAGTAAACCAGAAAAAATTGTGTAGCTGACAGAATTAGATAATCACAAGTGGAGCGTAGTCAAAGCGCAAAAAGAGTCACAGTTGCGAACTTGAAATTGAGCAGAGAGGTAGAAACTCATCTCCTCCAGACAGAATATGGTCTCTGGTATGTACTGAGAGGATTTGAAGGAGGTGATATTTGTTGCAAGGTACAAGAAAAGAGATGTAAGGTCAGCAATAACGAAAGGAGAACCATATAAGTCTTGTACTTGGAGCAACAAAACGGGTAGACAATGCACAGAGACGCAGAGGTCGAATCATTGAATATCAAACATTAAGGGTATATCTAAATGCTCAGGCGTCAACCTCCAAGACACAAAGGGGATGATGATGTTCCCTAAAGAATATTTCCATGGCGACAAAGAATGTCTGAGCCTTCTTGCTCATGATCCAACTTTGTGGAACGCTATGAACCTGGAGGTCATAAAACTGATTTTAATCAGCACAATTACCCAAAAGAGATATATAACAAGAAGTTGTTAGAAAGAAAGACAAGATATCAATCGGAATCACAATTCGCATCGTTTGGAATCATACCTCTTGATGGATCGATTCAAGCATCACAATGGTTTGAATTCTGCGAAAATCAACTGAATTTGAATTCAGCGCGTCTCCCTAAACCCTAATCCCGGATGACCTGAATTCTCCCGACAATTAAAAACACCAATTCAAAGGGGATTCACAACCAACTTCCTTCCTTCCAATGCTTCTCTTTCTCCAATGGTTGTGGAATGTGAAGTTGAATAAGAATAAGAATCGTGAAGTTGAAGTTGAAGTTGAAGCAGAATAGTATCGCTGCAAACGAACCCCCGCTTTCAATACTCACTGATTCTTCTGTTCTGTACAAGACGGTTTCGTTAAAGGAAAGAGTTGAATAGAGAGTTAAACGACACCGTAGAGTGGTAGGTGGCAGTTTTACTTTAAATTACCTAATGGGCCGAACAATTACTAGGCTCATCACTAATGGGCTGCGTCTATAATAATCGGAGGGAGAAATCATCCTTCTCTTCAATTTCCCCCGAGTGAGGAAAGGGTTTAGGGCTGAACAGATGGAGTCGAATCGTCGGATTTCTCCTGCTGCCGGTATGGAGGTTCCAGTCGCAGGCGGAGGAAATGTCGTCAAATGGGTCGACATATCTGTACCTTCTCCCACGGAGGACAATGGATGTGTTCTCCTTCCTTCGTCTCAAGAAGACTACGCTTCGAGCTGTGTACTTGGCGAGCCTCCCATCTCTTTCGTTTTGAGAATCAACAAAACGACCTCAAACGTTCTCGAGCTTCTTCAGCTCTCTGCTAAATCTGGGTTTCCATTAACTGGCCTTCGCTTCGTCTTCGCTCACGCCCTCTCTCCTTTCGCTTTTCTATTCGCCCAAGAGGTAGATTCAAACCCTCTTCTCCACTTGTTTTTTTTTTTTTTTTTTTGAAATTACAAGTTACGGAGTTGAATTGCAGGGTAGTAGTGATGATGGTCGTCTCGTCTTCTTTCTTTACGCTCTCACGCCTTCCGGTGTTGTCTATGTGCTTAAACTCGAGAATACGTCAGCCTATAAGTCTGCCTCAGTCTTCCCGCTTGACCATCTGATCCGCCTGGATGTTCGACCTTACTTGAACGAAACTCATGTTACCAGTGTCGCTGCATCGCCTGGCTTCCTTTTCCTTGGCAGATCTGATGGTTGTGTCTCTTGCTTCCAGCCTCTTGCGTCTCCATCAGGTCGATTAACTTTATCTCTCCCATAGCTTTGTATCTCAATCTCGATGTTTGTCTTAACATTTGCCTTTCACTCTTATCAGGTTTCCACCATGAACTGCGTGATGATACAGGACTTGGCCGTCTTTGGGGATTTGTAAGGTACGTATTGTAGCACCCTTGTTAGAAAACTAATGGAGTGATATCATAAGTCATTGATTTTCCCTTCATCTATATAACCACGTTTATTTCGCAATGTAGGGGGACAGTTGTTGCAGCTGTGCAAGACTTATTTATATCACAAGTTTTTGGAAGGAACTTCATATGCGTGCTTCATGCCGATGGTGCATTACATGTATGGGACATTTTTACGTGTAGCAGGGTTTTGTGTCAGAGTATAGCTGCTAAAAACGTTGAGGGTAATACCTGCTACCTCTGTCTGTGGCCATTAGGTTTGTTTGATCATCATTTACCTCTGTTTTTGACTTTCTTCATGCTTCCTTCACTAGGGGTTATGTGTCTGAGGTTATGGTTGGGCAAAGCTGACTACGATTCTCGCATCATTCCATTAGCTGTCTTGTATAGAAATACTATGGTAAGCTTTTACTACACGCATTTCAAATCCCTTACGACTGACTGGAGTGGGAGATATGTAGTTCTTTTTCTCTATTACCTTCTGTCTCTGAAGTGATAACCATTTCCCATTTTTTTAAGGGTGTCAGCGTGGACGTGATCACTGTATATGGCCTGCACTTTAGTTCTGGGGAGGGGATAGCCTTGTCTCTGGATTCTGGACTACAGAATATTTCACTGGAAGGGGTAAGTTTTCTTGGCTCATATTTGTGAAGTGTGACGCATGCTATTCTGTTTTACTTTTTGCTCATAACTATGTTGAATTTGCATCTTCCTTGTATTTCTCTTGCTCGCAACTATTTTGAATTGCACATCTTGATTCCTGAATTTTGCAGGGGGAACTGCGGGATGTCAGATTTACATCCGACAAGATTTGGACGCTGAAGGCCGATGAATTGACATCTCACATGTTGTGCCAGAAATCTAGCACCATGTAAGTTCGAGAAGACTTAGTTGCTGTTGATTTAGTGGAATCTTTGTACTCCATGTAAAAATTGCATTATACTGTTTTAGGAGGTTCTTTATATATGTGCACGTCTTATTTTCTCTAGCCCTCTTCAGTTGGAACCATTACTATGTGGAAACATTAATGCAACATATATAGTAGGTGAATTTGTGTGTTATAATTCCTGGTTATGGAATCCTCTTGAATAAAATGCAGAACTCTAGGCGAGGTTTCATTTCTGAGATTTGTTTATCTAGGTTAAGCTGGAAAGGTGTGTTTCTTTATAGTAATGGTTGTGCTATTCGCTACTGTCGATATTTTTGTGTTCACTGCTTTGATGTATTTTTTTTCCTGATGGTGGATAATCATCTATTTTAAATTGTGTTACTTGACCCAGGGAAGCACGGTCTTACACTTTACAGGAGGAATACATTTCAGAGCAGTTATTTTTGAGTTCTGGGAGCTCTTCCCATGACCTTCTTTTGACGACACATTCACTATTTTCATCCTCAAAGGTCTTTATTCTAAAACATAGCTTTCATTTTGTTGGAAAATATTGTACTCAATCTGCTTTTCCTTTGATGCATGTTATGCTGTAAAACAATTGTTTATTGTTTGAGCCCTTCTTAACGTTTATTGCACTTTGCAGGATCAAATTATGGGATTCATTTCATCAATCTTCTTACGTAGGCTTCTTTGTCCTGGGGTTTTTCACAATGTTGCCTTGCGTCTAACTTTACGGGACCACAACAAACACTGGACTGATTCTGAATTTCAATCCTTAAGTCTTGATGAGCTTAAAAGCGAGATTCTTCTACTAGTTGAGCAAGAGGTTTGGTTTTTACACAGTTCTATAATACCTTGTAGATACAATGCATTCGACTGCTCGGTGGCATAACTCTGGGTCATACAAGCTTAAATATGCCTCTGTTTATGTCAGGTTACTGGTGAGACTTCGATTTCAGTTTTTCACTGGTGGGAAAACTTTTGTTCGTGCTATCTTAATCACTGGTGCAACAATAATGAACCGTGCACGTTGCTGGTTCAGTCAGATGTTATCGGTTTAGTCAGAAACAATTCTGTATCACTGTTCTGTAAATTAGAGAACGTTGAGCACAGTCTTGGAGGTATGTAAAGGATTCTTGATCTATTATCTAGATTCTAGAACCAAATTTCCTTGTATTTCGTATAGTTGCTTAAGAATTAATACGGTGTCTGTCTGTTGATAGGATCGTCCTTCGAAAGCAACCTAACAAGCTTAGGCTTGGGGATGTCTCTCTATGAACATGAGATACTGTCGGAGGTACTGAAATGTACTTTGAAGATCAGTAAGCAGTGGGGTGCTGCTCCTTATGCCATGTATTATGAATCAGTTACTGGAAAGCCAGTTATCTCATCTGATGAAATTGTTCCTCGCTTAGTTAACATCCTTGACTCGGGATATGCGATGTCCATAGGTCAGCGTCTTTGGTCGGATCTTGGTGCTGATAGAGCATGGGAGAAAGAGCTAGAAGCTCATAAAAATCTTAGAACATTCTCCGTTGAAATGTTATTGTCTCTCTCTGCTCTATGTCAAAGGGCTGGATCTTGGGAAAAGGTTTTTACCATCATGGAGCACTATTTGCAGTATCTGGTCCCGAAGAAAGTTATGCATAACAATGATGGCGAAGCATTATCTGATATCTGTAGTTCTATCCTCGTGCAAGCTACTTCTCAGTTCGCAAAGCTGATGTTTGAGTCTGCCTTTGACATCTTCCTACTCGTCAGCTATCTGGTTAACATCTCCGGGCAGGTCAGTTTCCATTTGTCTCATATTATTGTCTAAACGATTCTTTTAGTGGAATCAGTGTAGTTTTTATTTTGACACTAATCTCATACACTCTACTTCTTTCAACTTTGTTGATACTTTAAACGCAGTCTTCCATTCTTTTTCATCTTCTTTTTTTTTGGCTTTCTATTTGGGCAGGTTAATATGTCACACAAAGACATATGTAAGCTACGGCTTGAATTGCTTCCCATGATCCAAGATATTGTCTCAGAGTGGCTCATCATTCGTTTCTTTGTTACCACGCCGGCTCAGTTGACTTCAATGGAAGATTTCAGCTCTAAGCTGTCATCTCTTCAAATTGGTAGGTTTTTTGTCGTTGGGAAATATTCCCCAAAGCTCATACCTCAGTCATATCCAATATTTCACACTGGACACATTCGTCTTATCATTGTAGATAGCAGTATTGACAAGAGATCATGGAACACAATGCTTGGGAAATGCGGTTTCTCATTGGCATATATTCTTCTTTTTAGTGACCGAAGTTGCA